AAATAATAATAAAAAAATAAAATTGTTGTTGATAACTTACCTGCGCCGGGTAGGCAACGACGGCGATGTCGAGGAGGGCGTGGCGCAACGACGAGGACGACGAGCACGACGCTGGTGACGTGGCACAAAGATGACAAGCACGGTGATGATGGTGACGTGGCACGACACGTGACGATCACGACGATGGTGATGATGACGTGGCGACGCCCGTGGTGCGACGATGATGGCGCCGGTGGCGACGGCGGAGGGGGAGGGTCGAAAGACCGCTCCGATACCAGTGTAACAGGCGCGAAGCTGAGGGAGACAAGGAGAGCCGAGGGAGAGGAGAGAGAGAGGGAGAGAGGGAGAGCACACACACACACTCACTCACTCGGCGCAACTGAGGTTCGAACACAGACACAGTGGGAAGGACACAAAGTCGAAGTCTTGGATTCCGAATGTAGAAACAGGAGCAAGTCACACTGAGTACGAGTACAGCAGTTGAAAACTCGTACCAGACTGGTCCCCATACTGTACGGGGCACCGGTATAAGTACCGGGTGTCCGGTATAGTACCGGGGGCAAATCTGCAAAGCCCCAAGGGCAGAACTGAAAGTGGCGCCCGAATTGCAGCATGGCGCCAGTTGTCCAAAGTCCTACGGTGCCAAAGGAGGGGTTTGGAAAAAGGGTGCCAGGCAGAAAACGGGATGCAGCCGAAACGACAAAAAGATAGACCAAGGATCGAGCCCTGGCGGAGTCCGTAACAACCAGGGTTCATCTACGCAGCGAGGGGCAGCACTTCGAAACTTAAAAAAACAAACCAGTTTCAGCTCCCCCCCTTTTTATTTTTTCGAGGCCCCGCGCGGCCTCAATTTTTTTTTTTTTTTTTTTTTGGTTCGTCACGCGACATCCCACCTCGGCCCAGAACACCCTTCGGCAACCTTTTTTTTTTTCCGTTCGACCCCTTATTTCCGGGGTGCGCCGCACCCCGTGCGTGCGCGTCGTGCGCGGTGCGCGGTGTGGCCGACGTGCGGGGTGCAGCGCACCTCGATGCGCCGCAAGTATGCTTGAAACGCTTGAGGGTCGATAAGCCACGCTCTCACAGTTTTTTATTTTACTCTGGTAGCCGAGGAAATACCCCCATAAGTTGAGATATATGCCAAAATGCCCCTAAATGATGTGGGTAGCGCAGAATGCCGTTTTGGGCCGAA